GAAAGAGTTCTGATTAGCCGAGTGGTAGGAGATCTAACCTGTATCCCAAAATTAACAAAAAAAGTATTTTGTAGATTAAGCATTTACAGACTGTTTTCCATTATATCCAGGTCTTTTGCATAAGCATATCCCTGCAATTGTAAATTCCTTTAAATCCAAATGCTACTTTGGTGTTGTTTCTTATGGAACTATTTTGTGCCCACACGCACTCGCGCGCACCCACCCACCCAGACACATATATGTGTATATATATTTCTTGTACATATATATGTATATATATAAGTTAGCATACACTGTGGTGTAAATTGTCACTAAAGATCATTATAGATCTTCTTTTCTAAATATCTGTGCATTTTCTGTTTTCTCTCTTGTGAATAAATACTCTGTGTCTGTATGTACATGATGTAGAAAGCACTTATTCATGTTCTTACACCTCACATAGCTCCTCCTGAAATCTGTGGTCAAACTGTTGTGCCTAAGGTTGAGCCTTTGTAAATTCTTGCTGGCCCAGGTATCAGTATGAGATTATACCCTCTAATGGGGCAATGGGGGCGGGGAGGGAAAGCAGCAGAAAAGTCTCCATCCCAGAGAGAGTGACCTGCTTCACACCTCAACTCACAGGGTACCTAATCGATTGGCAAAGTGGTGAAATTGTTTGCATGAGCCCTGAAAAATATCCATTAGAATATCCCCCTCCAAATACCTATGCCAAAAAATACCATCTTCATTAGGCTCTGATCTTTTTCTTTTTTGTTGTTTTTTTTTTCTTTTGTGCCACAGGAGTACCAGCCACATATGTTCTGGATGAACATGATTGATGCTATGTATCAAAGCCTTGTTTGCTTCTTCATCCCATATTTTGTAAGTGTTTGGTTTAAGACATTCTATTTCAAGCCTTTTGAACTGGAAACACAGCTTGCACTAAATTGTGACTTCTTCTTTACAGACTTACTATGATTCAGAGGTGGATATTTTCTCCTGGGGAACTCCCGTCACCACGATAGCTCTCTTCACCATCATATTACATTTGGCTATTGAAACAAAAACTTGGGTAAGGCATCCACAGACTACACAGAAACTTGCTGGAATATCGCAACTCTTTTCTGAGTGCCATTCTTTAAAAACACAAGATGCTTGTTTCATTCCCTCAGCACATTCTCTTTTTATCAAGCATTTTAAGCAAACATGATTTTTAAACGTGATTTTAAACTGTGACCTGTAAACAGCTTTGTAATTCTGTGCATATAATACGAATTTCTGAAAATACAAGGCTCTAAACACTTTCCTGTGCATGGATTTTTCTCCAGAAATTAAGAACTATTAATTCAGAATGGCTGCAGATTTCTCAGAAAATAATCATTAATGTTTGGTTCTGGTTTGTTCTAGACTTGTCTCCACTGGTCATCTTGCATCTTCAGTATCCTTTTATTTTTCTTTGTGGCTCTGGTTTACAATGCTTCCTGCCCAGTATGCCATCCTCCTTCCAATCCCTACTGGACTATGGAAAGGCTGATGGGAGACCCTATGTTCTATTTCACTTGCGTTATATCACCAGTCATTGCGCTGCTGCCCAGGTATTGTATCTTCCTTCATATCTTTCTTATATATGATAACAGTTCATACGTATGTTTGGGAGGGTGAGAAAGGGTTCTTGCTCTTCTCTCTCTCTTTCTTTTTGCTTTACCAGCCAAGCAGGTTTTTTCAGTCATTGATTATATAAAGCCAGATTGTCTAACCTTTTCTGTGCTTCTGACCACAGGAATAGACCACATATCCCAGCCATAGACCACAGGAGTGGGATAATGGTAGACTGTGCATCAGCTTTGCTGGCCATGCAGGGATTTTGGAGAAGGTGGTCAGCTAACACATTTCACTGCGCTGCCCTATGAGGTTTTCCATGATGTTTTTAGATTCAACCCATCCTCCCGTAACAATGCACAGTACAGATGTTCTGATAGGATGCTGTGGACTACATACCTACTTACAGGTGTAGGAGCCTTGCCCTGCAGACTGATCCCCATTGGCTTTGAGTCTACATCAGGAAAGATGAAAGACCATCTGTAATCACAGGTGGATCACTGGCTAAAGACACAGATTTACTGCATTGCTTACTATTAATCAAAATATTACCAGAGCATTCAGAGCTTTTCCATCTGCAATCTTTCTTGTGTCAAACGTAGGAAGAGCGCACAAAACTCTCTTATTTTCCTATGTTGTGTTTTTTTCTTGGATATTTTCTCTTGATAATATCTTGGGTACTTCTTCTCTTTCAGTTCTTTTCAGGTGCACATTCTTCTCTTGCAGATTTCTGTACAGAACCCTTCAGGGGACACTGTTCCCAACTCAGCTTCAGCTTGGACGCCAGTTGAGTAAACTATCCCCAGAGATTCGCACCCAGCTTCTGACCAAGTTGAATGTCAAAAGGGAAGTGATTGTTCAGACACAGCCCTTTGCAGGCAGCTTCACACCAAACCTTTGCTCAAATGCTAGTGATTGTTACACAGCTTATAACCAAAGCACCCCTTTGCCAGCATCTCATCAAAGAAATGAGTCACTTTTCCCAGAGCCTGCAAGGGCAGAACACGCAACAGATCGGACCGTGGCTGCTTCTCCCCAAGGTGCTCTGTTGTATGGGGAAAACAAAAACTCCTCAGCAGCAAGTAGTCCAGGAAGGTCTGTGGGATTTCATGAAGTTACCCACAACACTTCAGAGGTGGAGTCAGTGTCTGTCGGAGCAGCTTTCCCATGGAACTCAGAAGCAGATCAGTCAGACTTCAGTTTGCTAAAGTGAGTGATACACCCTTTGAAACAGTGTGTCTGTGCTTGGCTCTTCTTTGCATGTGGACTTCAAAGGCTTGAAAGAACAGAGCTCAAACAACTTCCAGGACAAAATGAAAGGGATTGCAGCTGACAATTGTAAAAGTGACAATTCTGAGACCACCTTTTTATGACATGGGCCTCAAAGATATTTATATATTTTCTATTTGCACACATTTATAGTGAGATTACTCTATTTGTTTCCAAAGACGAAACAAAAAAATCAAAGGTACAGAATGATTATTTAAGAATATGTAAATACAGTATATTGAAATAAGAGCTTTAAATATAAAAAGAAACACTTGAAAGTCCCATTTATATTGTTTTATTTTTTCATCTCATTTTGTAAGGAAATGCTATCTGTTTATTTTTCAGATGCTTCTCTTTTATTCTGACACATACTGTAAAAGCAAACAACCTATCTACCATACCCAAAAGGATTAGATTCAGCAACAGTTATTGATATCAATACAGGCCATTCAGTAATCAAGGGCAAAAAACCATGATAATAAATAGACACTGTATTCCATGCATCATTTACTTGCCAGGATATTTTGTCACAGCAGCGAACCATTAGGCAAGACTTTGGAAATACTATACACTTCTCTGTAAATGTTAACAGTATCTTACCACCGCATTAATAACACTGGTATTTTATAAGTGATACCATATTTTGATATTGCCGCCATAGCATTTTATGTGTCATGATAAAACAATAAATAAATGACCGTCCATATTACAAAGTGGCTACCCAGTCTGGCATTAATAGCAACTCAGCCTTTCACTTGGAGTAACTAGTGTTTGGAAGGTCACAGCCTTGTATCAGGCTGTTCAACTTTTGAAGAAAAGCTATTTCTCGTTTTTGTGGAATTACTGGGTGGCAAAGAACTGGTGTGTTGTGTCCACTGTGGAGTAGGACTTGGGGGAGTCTGTGATCTTCTGTGCTGGAGCGCTACAGAAAACAGGTTGAAGAACTCAGCCCTGCTTGCTAATGGGTGGGTGGAGGGCAGGCAGAGTGGAGAGCCTCGTTAGCATCTTTTACTGTTGTTTCAGCCGGGTTAAATCAAGTCCTTGGTGATCAGGAAGGGACGTGACCAGCCAGGACAGTGCAGTGCTGTGCCGAGGTACCTGAACTCGGTCTAAAATAGGCTTGCACCAGTACTGAAAGTAGGTAACTGCAGTACTTTCTGAGATTATGCCTGAACTGACCTTACATGGTTGTACTGCGTGCTTCTCACAAACTGCAGCTGGTATATTGGTGTGCAGCTGCACTGGGCCCACTATGATGGATCACAGGGGTTTTTAACCTTGGATGGCTGCTTGGTTCTTTCATATGTCGTCACCATAATTGCGCATAAACTAGCTGTTCCGCTTCTTACTTTCCTTTGTCACAGGTTTTCAGACATCTTTGCCTTGTTTACCATTAGTTGTGTAAGGCCAGAACCTTGTTACATCATGTTGTTTCTTGACAGCACAGTGCCAGGCAACTTGGTTGCCACATGGATTGCCTCAACTATTAAGCCACAGTGTCTACCATATGCCACTTTCTATTCCATTTGGGATTTTATTTTAAGGTTTTATACATTAGCTTCTTCCCAAAAACAGAATTGGTAATATCAAACTGTAAAATGCAATGAAAGGAAGAAATGAAATCAATCTAAATAAAAGCTGCAGCCTGTACATATGTTATCCTGATTAAATGTGGCTCAACATGGAGCTAAACTATGTTTTGGGATTAGAATTAATTAGGGACAGAGCAAACGTGCTAAAGGGTTTACAGGATTTTCAGTCTCTTCTGTGAAGAGTTTTAAGCCTGCCATTGACTCAAAGAGAAATTGTACCTAAAACACGACTTCCTCCTTTTAGCCTCTACTTAAACAGGAGTATAGGTCTACATGTGTAGATCTTAGCAGAGAAAAGCACCCCTATTGACTTATTTGGCTCAAAACATTATGACATTTTTCTGCTCTATTCTTACTAAGGAAGTGACGCAGTAGGAGTGGCCTTTCATTTCACTGACCGTAGGCATCTGCACTAAAGGCATCAACATAGGAACTTTTTACTCTAGGCCTCTCTTACAGTCTTGGAAACAGGAACTACTGGGACATGCCTGCTGATGTAGACCTCTAAAACAGGGCAGAGGTTCGCACCTTGAAAGTGCTTGTTTCTCTTCACTGTCTGGAAGGGGAGCCTGGGTGACTCAGCACAGGTGGGGAAATCTGCACTGCAAGGGTTGGTAGTTGGGTATGACAGTTCCTGTTTTAGACATTTCTACTTGCTCTACCAGCCTCCTAGGTCTTGAGAATAACTCTGCTGGGATTACATTACAGGTAATTTTTTGCAAGGTAAATTGGCTGTATTTGATACAAACTGTGCAGTGATTGCCGTTCTAAATAACTTTCCTATCTGGAGCTGCAGTATTTTTTAGTGAGGAAATGTAATGACACTTTGAAATGTGTAAATATTGCCATCTGGTTAGAAACATTCCCTTGCTCTTGAAACAGGATCTCGCATAAGGACAGAATATCAGATACCAAGTAGGTAGAGTTGATAGTTTTGCAAGACCTTAAATTCAACCTTCAATCTAAAGAGTTTCTTGAGGTCATAGCAGGAGCTTGCCATGGATGTCCTCTGTGTGTGTGCTTTTCCTCAATGGCTCCACCAACACAAGCAGGTGGGTGAAGATCTTTCAAGCTTGTTAACTCTTCTACATCTTTCTACAGCGTATCTGGTGTACTGCAGTGTAAAGAGTAGCATTTCTCAGCTCACACCTGCTAACCACTATGGTCTGTTGAATTGCTGTGAAAGGAATTTAAAAGATAAGAATAAGCACACTTTCTTGTCGTGCAATCCAAATTTAGGCTCATTTCCATTTTGTTATGAATGAAAATTATGATGGCACCTCTACCTTAGATATCTTTCTTCAAAACGTTGAGGAGTCCCTAGATTAGAGTAAGTGAGATACTAGTTTGTGGGTACCGACCAAGACTGGATCCCTGTGAGACAAGGCAGCTTGCAATTAAACTGTATAAAATCTCAGCCTTACAGAGTTTTCAGGCTAAAAGTTGCAAGTTCCTTTCCTACAAGCAGAGTTTTCAGGGCTCGGATACTGCTCCTGGCCCTCTGCCTGCGTGAAATCTTTCCCCAGACATTGCAGTACTTCATGCATATGAGAAAAGCTTTACTGATTACAGAAATGCAGTCACTCTAGGAGACAACATGGAAACATGAGCCATTTTACCCATTTACAGTTAGTACTCTCCCATAGTGTCTTCCTGGGACAGGCCTGGTGCAGGCCTGGTACATCAGTGGTATTTGGCTCAGAGTGGGGTGTTCTCATCAAAAAGGACCTAAATTCCTGGCTAACGATGCTCTTTCTTACTGTTTTTGTGCCTTTGTGATACTTAAGATTTGGTTTCATCGTTGTGTTGTTAGTATTTCAAAGACTCTCTGTGTAGATGAGGGATAGACGTATTCCTTTGGGACTAAGACGTGCTGCCAGGTAGTTGCCACTATGACTGTGAGAGCAATACATCTGTGTCTTATGTTTAGGGAAAGTCAACATTATCATAGATCTAGCTCCTCAGTTGCTACAGCCATCACAGCTCCATCAGTTTCTGCAAGCTGACTTCCCCAGTTGAGAATCAGGCCTCAATAACTGCTGTATTTTGCTACCAAAAAAATTACTTAGAGGTGTATTTTGAAATACATAAAGTGTAAATGCTTCTTAGTAAAAGATACAAAATCTTATTATGGCTACTATCCTGCAAACTGACACGAGTTTAACCTTAAATAAACCAAGTAATCCCACTGACCTTAATGGTGCAGTGACCTCGGCAGGACTGCTTGTATGCTTGCAGATAGGAAGGTACTTAACATTGAGGCCTCCATGTGCCAAAGTTACAGCAAGATACCTAGGAGCACAGAACCAGGTCAGTAAAAAGTAAGCAAGATATCTCCATTTTCTTCTGAGAGATAAGTTTTAAAATAATATAAATAAAATGTAACTTCAACCACAGAGTCGAAGGGAAAAAGAAAAAAACAACTGATTTCACATTTGGAAAGAAAATATTAAGCAAACTAATTCTTTTCATTTCAAATCAGAAGATCTCTCTTCAGAAGACAAATACATCAAAGCATATTACTTGCTAGGCTTTAAGGCTTGTCAACAATTCAAAGCTGCTATTAATACTTGAAACATTTTAAGTAAACAAACACTAATGACTTTCTGAAGCTGTATACATTGATTTTAGTAAAATAGAAATAAATTTCTAAAGTTATTCCTGTTGGTGCAGTTGAGCAATAGTCATATCATGCAAAACAAAGCTTTAAATTCACACTTCCTCAAAAAGCATACAATTGTTTTAATTAAAAGATTCCATAAGGCAATTAAAACAATACCCAGTTTCCATCCATTACCAGCAACAGACTACTCTTTCAAGTCTGTGCACTGAACTCTGCAAGCCCTTTTACTTCTGCTGCATTTTGCCAGTTGAAGTAGTCCAGCTGATGTTAATGACTGAGGAGAACAGAACTGTGAATTAAGCATCAGAGTGCTTCATATTTCTTACTTATTTACTTGGATTAACTTAGTTGTGATTTATCCATATTACGAATTTCCCTTGGGATGTGCAGAGGTCTTTGAGGAATAACCAGAACTCTTCTAGCAGATTAGCACTCTAATCTCAGAAATTTTATCTGCAATATATGCCAGTGAGGTGGAATTGGACATATAAGATGTCAAAACAGAACCAAAACAACACTCTAGTATTTTTTACAAGATATTTCAGCTATACATCATTGCTGTATGCGCCAAGACAGTTAGGCACCTGCTAGTCATACTCTTGCGTCAGAGGTAGAACCCAGGCCCTATCCCCTGATGGCTGTTAAATGATTTTTATGTTTTTCATAAATTGGAAAGCTGATGATAGTGATGACTTCTCAGTGTGGCCAAGTCCAGTGATATTCTGCATTGATTTAAGGGCTTTGTTCATGGGGAGAGCTGAGTCTTTGGCTGCGAACTAATAAAAGTTCATTAGACCCTTTCAATTTATTCAACAAGAGACTGCTCTTTCTCCCACGAGACAACTTTTC